ACCAGAACCTGGTTTAGTTCTGACTCTGGGCCCCATCGGGAGACCAGAACCTGGTTTAGTTCTGACTCTGGGCCCCATCGGGAGACCAGAACCTGGTTCTCAGAGTCCGAGCTGGTTCATTTGGCTCTAACATGTCAGAAATACATTCAGGTGTTTGACCGTGAAGAGACTTGTCCACAACAGAGACACAGAACAGGTGAGGTGGGAAAAGGGAAAAGAAAAATGGTGACTAGTCAGTGTTCACTCTCAGGTATTCACCCCATTCAAGGTGGAAGACAAAAAAGCCTCACACAGAGGAAGTAGACCCTTCTACCTGTTCCCAAACCAGGTCCTGTTTATACGCGGTTATTTCTCTGTTCACCAGAGCCCACATACAGAGGGGGGAATAAGTATTTTACCCCTTGCTGATTTTGCAGGTTTGCCCACTTACAAAGAATGCAACGATCTATAACTTTAATCATATGTACATTCTAACAGTGAAAGACAGAATCCCAAAGAAAATTCCAGAATCAATCAATCAATCAATCACTTTATTTTGGTAAATTGTCCACATTAAACACAAGAAACAACAAAAGAAAAAAAGAAAAGAACAATAGACAAACCCACAGTTTACCAAAAAAGGAATAGGCCGAAGCAAAGCTTATTCTTGCCTACCCTATTTTTTTACCTTACAACCTACCAGGATTTCTTCAAATTTAGATTCAAGTACATAGTACATATATAGATCTACATAACAGCGTAAGATTTTATCATTTTACATTTTAAAGCTCTTTTAAAGTTCACCAAGAAAGGACATAACTTAAATTCATCATTCAATCCATTCCACAGTTTCACACCAATAACTGAAACACATCTAGACTTAATCTGACTTTTCTCTTCACATCATAGGAATTTATAAAAATTGATAACCATCTGATGAGGAAAAATAAGCATTCTTTGTAAGTGGGCAAACCTGCAAAATCAGCAAGGGCTCAAATACTTATTTCCCCCACTGTATAACCGTCAGTTCCTCCACCTGAGTGGGGTTAGGGTTGGTTTAAAATCGTCTCACCTTTACTTTCTCCGCCGTGGTGAATTTCAGCTCGTGGGCGAAGGGGTTCCTGCCCACTCCCGACCGGAAACTGCTAGAATCCTTCATTCCCGACTCGAAAATATCATTTAAAAAAACTTATTGCCGATGTCCTGTCCCTCCGTGGCTGGTTTTCCTTCCCTGACTGATGCTGAACGCGGGGGAGGGCGTTTTTTTTTGCCCGGTAGCACCAAGCTAGCAGCTCACCGCCACTTCAAAGGAAAAACACTTCCGGTTTTCAAACGCTACATTCCTTTGATGTTTTTTTGGGGGGGTGTTCACGGCAAAAACCGAGCCCACTCAAGAATAAGCAGGTATGAAAAGAGTGTCTGAGCTCAGATGTGTTAAATGAGGTATGTTTGGTTTTATTTGAGCTCTAATGCAAACAGTTGTGTACGTTTTAATTTTGAAACATTAAGAGAGGAACCGGAAGCTTCACGACATCTTTACCTGGCGTTCATCTTTATGGATAATCATCCGTCAATAAAGGCTACAGGTTTCTGGGAATTGAGCACAATGCCATTTGTTTACTCTATTTCCATAGTGTGTAACATTCATCTTTTTACCTCTTTGTGTGTTTGATTAGTATTGTTGTATTGTGGTTTTGCATCATATTGTGGCCATTTTCCCTCATTTGAAGTGTTTGCACAGCTGTTTATGGTCACATGGTATTTCTGAAATAGGTTTTATATTAATTTGTGTTACTTAAATGTGTTTCAGTAACTTCTTGTTGAAATTTTGCAATTCTTTGTGTTAGTCTTAAGTTGTCCACATGATTACACATGGCTGGGCGGGGTTCTGTGTTACACAGGAGAATGCTCAAGCTGTTTCAACTTGTGTAGTAAATCTAATGGTTTAATAAGAGAATTATTTGTCTTCGGAACATCGTGTACTTACGCAGTCAAATCCTAATTTCCAAGATTGTCCTCCAACAAAGACCTACCCATTCGCTGGAGGGTTTAAGGAGTGATAGTCATCCCTATTTCTTGACCTCCACAAGAAAAGAGTCCCTTTTCTTACCCACATGACTGAAAAACAAAAGGTTTAGACACAGTACCAGGGCTATCCGAGTCCTCTCACAAAGAGATATTATGAGGAAAAACAGGCATTGTTCTCCACCTGCTACACCCGGGACTATTGTACATTCAGTAACTACACGCTGAAAAAGAACATTAATGCATTTCATGTGATAAAAACAGCATAAAGAAGTCCCAGGATGAACAAATCTGATGCTAAACAATGGAGGGCTTGGCATTAAAGTGCATATATGTTCAGAAACACACAAACTAAAAGCCAATGGAATGTGTGTTCTAGATGATTGGGTTGATTAGCCTCACTTGAAGTCAAGTTTCGCCCCACATTTGATCCACCCACAATTTTCCTTTTTTTTTTCCTGGCTGTCTTTTATTTTCTGGATGACAGAGTTAGTCCAAGTAAACAGACTTTGTTAAGCCTCAAAGCCACAGATGGCTGAATCCCTACCTGACAAGTTCATCCATTAATATTCTGGGTGAACTCAGACTTTCTGTTTCACAACAGTTTTCTGACTCAAAAGCAATGCGTGGTTTAATATTACTGCATTCTTTAGTATAATTCATGGTGGCAAAGACCCATATCAATGGCCTCCTTTCTTTAAAAGTTGACATATAAAAGAATGATGAAGAATGGTGCTCTGTTGTTTGTCATTTCTCCATCTGCAAATATTAGCCTTCAGGGAAACTGTTCAAGCAAGGCTAGTCATAGCCTCAATATTTGTTGCCAAACATCTTTCAACCTGTCTGGTTACTTTTGATTGACAGTTTGCATGTTGTGTTAGGACTGTTGAGAGCATTGTGCTGTTTTT